TTTCATTGATCATCAGCCGAGGAGGGCATTCGTACGGCGGAAAATCTTGTATAGAAGTCAAAGGCAAGACAGATGGAAAGCAAGTTCCACGAACTACTCCGATCTTAATTACCGATGGGCATTTGCCGAGGATCCAAGCCTTCGCGGGTAAGAAGTCACATCTTCACTCCGCTCAACTCACTTACGCATTTGTAGTTCATAGCTGGGCTCCGCCGAACTCTGGTGAAGTGTGCTTCCCGTGGGTACCACGTTTTCAATCAGAAGACAGCAGGCAAAAGGGCTTTTCACTTATACTTATATGGGGGAACTCTTTCAGTGCTAACCCCGTGCGGTTACTTACTACCTTCCTCGGAAAAGAAGAAACATCACTTTGACCATAGTTTTAGTTGGTGTGCGACTATGAGCCTCTGGGCCTGTTCCTCGAGTGTGGGTATTCAGTTCCTTATGTTAAAGCTTGAGTAAGTGCTTTTGTAATTGCTTTAGTTTAAGGAGGTTTTTTCTTCTTTTCTTTCTTGTTCTCTTGAGCTGCATGTGTCCAATCTTCTGGTGATCCTTGAACTGGTGATCCTTGAACTGGTTTGCTCCCTTTTTCCTTTAGCAAATTGTCTTTCGTTGGCAACAGTTTATATTCAACTGTCCTCGAGGGGCTTTCGAGTGAGATATCTGCTGTAGGGTTGTTGTTGAGGTTTGGTTGTGTAGTCTCATCTGGATGATTAGGATCTATCTCTGAATGCATACTTGCATGTTCTTTGCTGAGAAGATCATACTTCTCCTGAAGCAAACTTCCTATTACCTCTTCTTTTTCCTTCATTTGATCCTGTAATCTGAGGATATCAAAATAGTAAATAACTGCTTCATAGCCCTTGATGTCAGTAATGAGTTTTGGTTTGGTGTCTACCCATACATGATCCTCATCAAAGATGAGATCCCTTTTTGGGTTGTTGAGATTGATTCCTAGTTGATGCAGAGATTCCCTTTGTTCGACTTGAAGATCACTCAGATTCACGTTGAAGAGTGATTCAACGGTGACATCTTTCTTTAGAGAGGGATTAGCGTATAGTTGTTTAAACCATTCGAAGTCCACATAGTTTTTTGCAGCACCCTTTTGCTTCACAATCTCTACATTGTCTTTGGTCTTTAAACCATAACTTTTCGGAGCGACAAAGTACCCTTCCTGAACTATATGCTCCAGCTTGAGCTTGCCCAAGACGGTGGATGAGATCTCCTCTTCCGGCAGTGGACTCCCAAGGAAGGCAGAGTCAGTATCGGTGTAGTAGCAGTCCTCTCTTGAGATGTATTTGTACATATGGATCCGAGCATAGGCAGTAATAGCAGCAGAGAGCTGAACTGCCGAGATCCTAGGTGGATGCCATTCATAGTCAGGGGCATCGGGGTGGTTGCTCACGAAATGAACCATTAAGTAATCATCCGTCAGTGGATCCGCACTGTGAAAGCCACAACGATTGTACATTGACTCAATATTGTCTTTGTGACAGATCTCAGTTATTTTACTTTCTGGATTGATGCCAAATCGGCCATAGAGAGAGTTCATGAGTATCTTGTAGACATAAGACAACCCATCATGTGAGCTCTTCTTTGCCTCCAGTCTCTTCTCGTAGTGGTTATGGACAAAACCACCGAATGGAGACGCTTTCTCCTCAAAGAGGTATCCCTTGAGGGGTAGGATCTTGTACCCCAGATTGCGGGCATACTTGAGTTCTTCGCTAAAGTAGACACCTATGAATCTACCTGTTGGGAAGAGCAGTCTCTCATGCTCCTTATAGGGCAGGAATGGTTTCTTCATGGTTGGAGGGCAGACAACATAGGCCTCAATGAATCCATACAAGCTGTCCAAGTCCTGGTCTCGAAGATCCCTTTTCCAGACTGGGACACCCCCAGGCATCGGTTTAGATGCCATAATATGTGGATACAGGGAGTTCACGTCATAGTGATATAGATTTTCACCATATGGCTTATACGTATCAGCATGGCCACCATAGTAACCCCTCCGAATGAATTTATCCTCATTCTTGCCGGGTAGATGGATCGGGAAGGTATTTGGATCGTAATAACACGTTCGAAAGATCTTCATTGCAAGGGCTGAGACTGTCAAGCAGTCCTCGATATCAATCTGGTAATCAGTCCAGTTGATCTCTTGGGCCTTGTGCATAATCCCACCTAAGAGAAGGATGTCCTGTTTTCAGGTATTCCATCAATTCGGAACCATACTGCTTCAAAGCAGGCACATCTACATCTTCATATTTGATTGGAATACTGCCCTTAGAACCCAATTCTGGGCACAAGGTCTTAGCTAAGGAGTTAAGAGAACCGGAGAGAAGGTTTATAGAATCCTTTAGACGGAAGACCACCTTCTTCCACGAGAGACAACCAACTCGTAGAGCTTGTTATTCCTCATCAGTGGCTTGATGCTGTACGTTTGACCTATGAACAAAATACTTCATTAAGATAATCCCATCGAATCGTCCTAAGTTGTGGAAGTAGACGGTTTGAACATTGTTTCGAGCTGCTACAACAGCTAAACGCTCTATAAAGTCAAAGAGCATCTTATTACTCTGATTTTCGAAATCATCAATTATTAGAGAGTAATCTTCTGTGAAGTACCTTTCCACTTTAGAAAGATGCTCGGAAGAGACTCCTTCACCAGGGTGAACCAGCAAGAAACCAGCAGCGTAAGGTACTGTACCTTACGCTGCTGGTTTCTTGCTGGTTCACCCTGGTGAAGGAGTCCTCTTCCGAGCATCTTTCTAAAGTGGAAAGGTACTTCACAGAAGATTACTCTCTAATAATTGATGATTTCGAAAATCAGAGTAATAAGATGCTCTTTGACTTTATAGAGCGTTTAGCTGTTGTAGCAGCTCGAAACAATGTTCAAACCGTCTACTTCCACAACTTAGGACGATTCGATGGGATTATCTTAATGAAGTATTTTGTTCATAGGTCAACGTACAGCATCAAGCCACTGATGAGGAATAACAAGCTCTACGAGTTGGTTGTCTCTCGTGGGAAGAAGGTGGTCTTCCGTCTAAAGGATTCTATAAACCTTCTCTCCGGTTCTCTTAACTCCTTAGCTAAGACCTTGTGCCCAGAATTGGGTTCTAAGGGCAGTATTCCAATCAAATATGAAGATGTAGATGTGCCTGCTTTGAAGCAGTATGGTTCCGAATTGATGGAATACCTGAAACAGGACATCCTTCTCTTAGGTGGGATTATGCACAAGGCCCAAGAGATCAACTGGACTGATTACCAGATTGATATCGAGGACTGCTTGACAGTCTCAGCCCTTGCAATGAAGATCTTTCGAACGTGTTATTACGATCCAAATACCTTCCCGATCCATCTACCCGGCAAGAATGAGGATAAATTCATTCGGAGGGGTTTACTATGGTGGCCATGCTGATACGTATAAGCCATATGGTGAAAATCTATATCACTATGACGTGAACTCCCTGTATCCACATATTATGGCATCTAAACCGATGCCTGGGGGTGTCCCAGTCTGGAAAAGGGATCTTCGAGACCAGGACTTGGACAGCTTGTATGGATTCATTGAGGCCTATGTTGTCTGCCCTCCAACCATGAAGAAACCATTCCTGCCCTATAAGGAGCATGAGAGACTGCTCTTCCCAACAGGTAGATTCATAGGTGTCTACTTTAGCGAAGAACTCAAGTATGCCCGCAATCTGGGGTACAAGATCCTACCCCTCAAGGGATACCTCTTTGAGGAGAAAGCGTCTCCATTCGGTGGTTTTGTCCATAACCACTACGAGAAGAGACTGGAGGCAAAGAAGAGCTCACATGATGGGTTGTCTTATGTCTACAAGATACTCATGAACTCTCTCTATGGCCGATTTGGCATCAATCCAGAAAGTAAAATAACTGAGATCTGTCACAAAGACAATATTGAGTCAATGTACAATCGTTGTGGCTTTCACAGTGCGGATCCACTGACGGATGATTACTTAATGGTTCATTTCGTGAGCAACCACCCCGATGCCCCTGACTATGAATGGCATCCACCTAGGATCTCGGCAGTTCAGCTCTCTGCTGCTATTACTGCCTATGCTCGGATCCATATGTACAAATACATCTCAAGAGAGGACTGCTACTACACCGATACTGACTCTGCCTTCCTTGGGAGTCCACTGCCGGAAGAGGAGATCTCATCCACCGTCTTGGGCAAGCTCAAGCTGGAGCATATAGTTCAGGAAGGGTACTTTGTCGCTCCGAAAAGTTATGGTTTAAAGACCAAAGACAATGTAGAGATTGTGAAGCAAAAGGGTGCTGCAAAAAACTATGTGGACTTCGAATGGTTTAAACAACTATACGCTAATCCCTCTCTAAAGAAAGATGTCACCGTTGAATCACTCTTCAACGTGAATCTGAGTGATCTTCAAGTCGAACAAAGGGAATCTCTGCATCAACTAGGAATCAATCTCAACAACCCAAAAGGGATCTCATCTTTGATGAGGATCATGTATGGGTAGACACCAACCAAAACTCATTACTGACATCAAGGGCTATGAAGCAGTTATTTACTATTTTGATATCCTCAGATTACAGGATCAAATGAAGGAAAAAGAAGAGGTAATAGGAAGTTTTGCTTCAGGAGAAGTATGATCTTCTCAGCAAAGAACATGCAAGTATGCATTCAGAGATAGATCCTAATCATCCAGATGAGACTACACAACCAAACCTCAACAACAACCCTACAGCAGATATCTCACTCGAAAGCCCCTCGAGGACAGTTGAATATAAACTGTTGCCAACGAAAGACAATTTGCTAAAGGAAAAAGGAGCAAACCAGTTCAAGGATCACCAGTTCAAGGATCACCAGAAGATTGGACACATGCAGCTCAAGAGAACAAGAAAGAAAAGAAGAAAAACCTCCTTAAACTAAAGCAATTACAAAAGCACTTACTCAAGCTTTAACATAAGGAACTGAATACCCACACTCGAGGAACAGGCCCAGAGGCTCATAGTCGCACACCAACTAAACTATGGTCAAAGTGATGTTTCTTCTTTTCCGAGGAAGGTAGTAAGTAACCGCACGGGGTTAGCACTGAAAGAGTTCCCCATATAAGTATAGTGAAAAGCCCTTTTGCCTGCTGTCTTCTGATTGAAAACGTGGTACCCACGGAAGCACACTTCACCAGAGTTCGGCGGAGCCCAGCTATGAACTACAAATGCGTAAGTGAGTTGAGCGGAGTGAAGATGTGACTTCTTACCCGCGAAGGCTTGGATCCTCGGCAAATGCCCATCGGTAATTAAGATCGGAGTAGTTCGTGGAACTTGCTTTCCATCTGTCTTTGCCTTTGACTTCTATACAAGATTTTCCGCCGTACGAATGCCCTCCTCGGCT